GAACATGTTCATAGCTTCAAAATTGAGCAAGATATGCATTGGAGAAGTTGGGAAATTTTTGGGAATTTTGAAAAGTCAACTTTGCCTAAAACACTTCAAAATTGCTAATGGGCCTCAAATTCTTCCTTGAATCATTACCCAAAGCCTATGCACGACCCATTGAGATCAAAGGGATTTATTTTCTCATTTTTAATTAATTAATTGAATTTTTATTCTTATTAATTCATTTAATTAGATTTAATTATGAAAAAATATCAAATAATGCTTTTTCAAATCTTTTTGTGCAGCAAATATACTCCAAATATGCTAAAGATTCCGTGCATCATCTCCAGGGGACAAGATCATCCATATTTGGCAAGATTGGAAAATATATGATTGGCAATCAAAGATTCAAGTCATCAATTCATGGACTTTTGGGCTCTTTCTTGACCTAGAATCCTTCACATACATATGCACAAGGAAACCTAATTCAGGGATACACGAAAAAGCTGCTAAAGCCATAGAACAAAGTTGCAACTTTTCATCAAAAACTTAGAAACTGATTTCGTATTTGCAGGATCACTCAAGGCCTAAAACCTATTCCAACACCTTGCTGACATTGCTAGGAAGCTATAGCAACCAAGAACAAGCTTCCACGTCCAAGGAAACGGTAGAACAGAATCGTGTTATTCACAAAAATTTCCATAATCGAATTTTGCATTCTATGCATCATTGTTATATTTTGATTGTTGATTTATGCTACTAACATCTTCCTGAAGCGTTTGGCATAGTTTAATTGTTCTAAAAGTGCTTGAATCGAAATCTACCATTGATGAAACCTAGGGTTTTAGAACTTCAAAATTGGGGGTTCTCATATATGGTAAAATTAGACCACCAAACCTGTATGGACACATTCGTGGCAAAAAGACGAATCGTTTGAAACAATCGCGCCCTTTTTATATTAACTCATCTTCTAATCGCTATTTTTACAGGTTTCACTTAGTGGGGGTTTAAAACCCCCGCTACTTGTTTTATAATTGCAGGGAAAACAAGGAAGAAGATGGACGTGGCCTGATGCTATTGGGAGATTCAAATCTGGCGCGTAATTTTTTGTCTTATACCACTAACCAATGTTTTTGTATATTATATTTTTTGTCTATCCATATAACAAACGCACGCAATAGCCCAGTTGGTGGAAGACGTAGCTGGCAGGTATAGGGACCTGGGTTCGATTCCCAGGTCCCCCCACATATTGCATAATTTTTGTTTTAATGTATTCCAATGCAGCTTCCATTAAACGTTCCACCATGCACGCTCATGCTTAGGCCTGCCAAGTGGACATGATGATTGATCCAAGGGCCACTGAACGAATTCCAGGGTGTACCCCAGTCAACCACGCGCACTCAAGCTGGAAAGGTCAAACAGGCTTTGTGTTCATGGGCCAAATTTGCTTCAAACAAACCTCCATCTGGGCCTGAAAACCCCCCTTGATTTGCAATTTGATTTTTTTCCTTTCTTTTAATTTCTTTCAATTATTTTCTTTATATAATTATTATTAAGTCATTAAAATTAATCTTTTCCTAATAAAAATCAGAATTTCATAAATACAAAAACATGTTAATTATTTATTAATTTACTCATTAATTTATTTTTGTAAATAAATGTTAATAATTAATTTAGTTAATTTAGGTTTTACTTCAATCTTTTTCTTAACAAATAAAAAATGCATAGAATTAGGGTTTTGACATTTTCATCTTTATCTTAATTAAATCATTTTTCTCATTATTTATTATTATTGTTAACTACTATTTATTTTTATAAATAAACATGTAAATTAATTAATTAGCGTAAATTAGGTTAACTTGGATATTTTCTTTAATAACTAAAAATAATCTAGAATTAGGATTCCCATTTTATTTTAATTCTTTCCTTTATTTCATTAAATACCAAAAACATAAAAACATTTTCTTTTCCTTCTTTTCTTTAATTAAATAATTAATTAGCTTTTAATTCAATTTAATTTCAAAAGGGTCAAAACCCTCGGACGTCCTGATTTTATTCTTTCGCACGTTATTATTTTTCTTTATTATGTAACTGCTCAAGGATTGTAATAGTAATTAGGTCTTTTTACTTTCCGCATTTTTATCAAACGGGTCTTTGTATTTTGGCGATGTATAGACCCGCGCCTTGTAATAGCGTAGCTTTATCTTTCCGCTTTTAAATTTCCCGCACTCTTAAATTCTAAATTGCATGAAAGAATGTATGGTTAATTAAAAACAAGCGTAACTCACAAATGCCATGATCAAAGATAAACTTAACATGAAAACAACACACAAATACACACACCACTTCTAGGGTACGCCTCACCTGTTGCCTTCGAAACGTGGTCGTCAAGTATAGGACGTCTTAGTAAGTCCTTATGTCCATGATCCAGTTGCCTCGAAACAGTTGCCTCGAAATAGTTGCCTCGAAATGGTTGCCCCGGATTAAAAAAGGATCAAGGACATAAGGGTAGCTTCTAAGGTGTCCTACTGTTGCTTCGATGACCACACTGTCCTTAAACTCGAATTGACCCGAACACCTCCAACGGTGGTGCTACCTACCTCTCAATGGTGGGATGGCACTACCTTAAGGACTTCTACACAGCTTAATTCCTTAGGGTAGGTAGATGACTCATGGATACTTGCTCTATTCAAAAACAAATCAAAAACCTTTTCACATTGACACTTTCGAAAAGCTTTCAAAACAATTTTTCAAACACTCTTGAGGACTGATACAAGAGTTATTCAGAAATCTTTAAACGAAACTTTTTCAAACCCACTCACATTTTGAAAAGCAAACATTTTGAAAACATAAGAGCAAGTATCTAAGAGTCAATGGATAACCATGGATAAAAAGGGTGCTAACACCTTCCCTTTCTATAAATCTACCTCCCGGACCGAGAAACTATCTCATAAAGAATTTTGCTGTGCTTTTGTCCTATCCATGTTGGAGAAAATAAAAGACGGTGGCGACTCTTGCTTCCGCGACATTTCGCGAACCAGCGTTAAGCAGTCAGTTCTAAATCCACCGATCACACATGCCAACTTCATATTTTCAGTTCAAGTAATCTGATGTGTTCATTTACTAGTAATGCCCAAAATTATGTTGTTACAATTAATGATATGCCAAAATGACATGCTACAATTAATGATATGCCAAACAAAATAAGTCATATTAAACTGATAAACTGTGTTAAAATTACACATAAGGTTGCACATAATCTTCATAAACTGATAAACTGTGTTAGAATTACACATAAACTTGTTAGAATTACACATAAACTGTGTGAAAAATACACACAAAGTTGCTACATACTCCTACTCCTAATTCAACTTAATGACCATTACACATAACATTACAAAACACATAATCTTTAATGTTTTTTTCCACTTCAACATCTTATTCAGTTGAATTTGAAGTTCTAACACAGCATCCCCTAATTTTTTATTTCTAACCCTCAATTTTTCGTACTGATTCTTGATTTCATCTAAATCTTTTACTATGCTTTCCAATCTATTAATCAATACTTGATTTATGTCTTCTGCCAATTCCTCGTGAAACCAATCGAAGAAGCCACATCCTCTTAGCAAGAATCCCTGCAAATTTTAAAAATTGATCAAATTCTCTTTACCATCTTTTAGCATACCCAAACAAAAATTAGGGCTTACCTTGTAATTGTGACAACCCCAATTTTTTTCCATTATTCTTCTCAATGGTTTCCCTACGACGAATAATGTTGTCTCCTCAACGACAAAGTGGTGCAATCGCAAGCTACTGTATATACATGACCCAACACTTTCAGATTTCTTCATGTTCGTTTGGAAAGATGAATGCTTGTATTCATGGAGAAAGGGCCGAAATGATTATGGGTTGGTTCTTTGTTTTGGGAATGTAAGAAGATGGTGGGTACAAAGATGAAGAATGTAAAGAAGATTTTGGGAATGAGATTTTGCAGAAACTCAAGGCATTGCACGGAGATGATGAACACATGGTAAAGAATGCATAGTTAAGCACATCAAAGATGATGAAATCTGTCAGCTAACCTGCCACGTAACGAAAATAAACGGATGTTGAAGGCCAATTGTCGAAATAGACTTGTTTGATTTTTTTAGAAAATCAAAGGACTAATTTGACACGAAAAAAAGATAAGGGAGCAAAGTGAACCATGACCTATAGTTAATGGACCAAAATAAGTATTTTGTCTTTCAGATATACATATCCGAAAACACATTTATTAAATTGAAATTGAATTATTTTTTATATGCATATCTGAAAACCCTTTGAAAATGGAATATTAGATTATTTCGGATATGTAAATTCAAAAACAACCTTAAAAATTTGAAATCTAATACGTTCAGATATACACATCCAAAATCTCGAGATATTTTAGATTTTTCATGGAGGACCGACAAGAAGACATCCAGGTGAGGAAATAAATTCTCAAAAATAAAAGATTGTGTTTATGAAAGGGGAAGAAGTAAGTGCTTTTAATCCATGAGAGGTCGGTGCTTTTACAGGAAGAAATTCATTGAAGGTTAGCGTACAAGTTTTGACAGCAGCAAATTCAAATGTGTTCAAATTCAAAAGTGTGGACACAAGCTTTAACTTGAAACAACATCTATACAATAATCATTCATTGCGTCAATGATAAAAAAAATATAATTATTGTTATCACTTCATAATCTTATTTAATTTTTAAAATAGAAAAATAACAACAAATACTAAACATAGATCCTTGTTTCTTTGTCAACTACATGTTCCAATTTAGTCACTTTCAAAAAAAACAGATCCCCAAAAATAGAGATTTCCTACCAACTTTCTTCAATTCTTATCTCTTACGTTTCATAATTGTAATCCCTATGTGTCATATATAAAAACACATAGCTTATATCTCTATATGTATGTTTTATTTGAAAGGCTAATTAGCTAGGAAACTTTGTGTGAAGAAAAAGATTGAGATTTTTTCTTTTAGTAAGAGTATGAAGAGCATGAAGGTCAACAACAAATATGAAAGCTTGGGACAAAAGGGTAACCTAATTCATAGCCAAGTTATTAAGATCAAGCAAGAATCAGAGAAAATTTATGATTGGCCATTTGTTCAACCTGAAATAAGACCTGTTCTAAGAGAGATTTCCAGGCAGGTTTCGCGGTCACCGTTGGGAATTTCCGGCCAACCCATTTCAGTTAGTGATTCATAGAGTCAGAATATGATGTTTAGGCTTTTGATTAGTCTTATTATTATGATGGATAGAGATTATTGAGGGAGGATCTGTATGCTTCCCCTGTTTCTTCCTCTGTTTTCCTCTGTTTTCCTCTGTTTTTTAATCAGATATATGAAGATATTTAGTTGTATTCTCTTCTTTTTGTTTTTTTATAAATAGTAATAATGTTAATCACATAGTAGTTTATTTCTAGTTCTTTAGATGTAAATAAGAATTTGGTTCTCAGTTTTAATTTTTCAGAACTACCAAATTAATAAATTGAATCGATAACTATAGTTAACCTCTCTTAATCTTGTAATTGGTTTATTATTAATCCCGAATTTTGTACCGATGAATCTTCTCTATCTTTATTTATATTTTCTTTCTTTAAATAAAACAAACCGTCAATAACTAAAATTCAATTATAAAAAGTAGAAATTTTAAATCACAATTTTTTTTCATTGAACTGATCCTATCGCCAGGTGTCACTACTATTCGATAGCCTTCTTCGTGTTTCAAATTCCTTGGTTAATTTTCTTATCTTTTATTTTACTTTTTCTACTTTTTCTCCTTTTTCAATGAAATTTCTTCTAATCTTATTATACAGTAGTTTTAATACGTGTTTAAGGTATGAAGCATTTTTTTTATTACCATATTTTGTTATTATTGTTGTGTTTTATTTATTATTATTTTATATGGATTAAGTATAATTTATAAATTATTAATTTTTGTGTATTACCACATAATAATATTATTATTATTATTATTATTATTATTATTATTATTATTATTATTTTTTTTTTTATTTTATTTTTTTTATTATTATTATTATTATTGTGTTTTATTTAATGTTACTTTGTATGAATTAAATACAAATTGTAAGTTGTTGAACATGAAATAGATAAAATAGATAATATAAAATACATTATTTGGAAGGAAAAAAAACGTGATAGTAAAAAATACATATATAAATATAAAATTTGAATAAATATTATAAACGGGTTAATTGAATTAAATCAAATTCGAACTAGTTAGTTTGATTCCGTTTCGTTTTTAAAAAGAGAAAATTTAAATATAATTCTTTACATGTGATCTTTACTATTTTCTAATAAAAATATGATAAATATATTTAAATATGATTTAGAGAATGAAAATTAAAAAAAAATTAAATATACATAAGAAAAAATTATACACTTATCATATTTTTATTAAAAAATAGCAAAAACTACGTCTAAAAAATTATATTTAACTTTTTTTTCCTTTAAAAAAATCTAAAAATCAAACAATTTTTTACAAGAACTCAGTCCAAATTTAACCAAGTATACCCCTATAAATCACTATTTTTTATAATTAATATGGCATTGACATCTTTGTTTTTTTAAATTTAATTAGCAACCCTAAAAGCAATTAATTTTATTTTTTATATTTTTTCTTCTTCATCAATTAAGCATCCACCATATTTATCCAACAACATAAGTTAAAAAAGTAGAAAACAAAAGAAAGAAGAAAAAAACATATCAACTAACTATTTAAGATTATAACAAATCCATGTGATACAGTATTCACTTCTATATTTATTGGTGGAAGGGTTAGTTCATCCTCTGTATTTTGTTATATTACTTTTAATTTTCACTATGACATACTTTCCTCCAATACCGTGTGTATACCTTATTATTGGACTATATTATTAAATTATTTTCTCTTGCTTGAAGGAATTAGAGTTGTACGTAAGGAATGTAGAAGTGTGCTTAATATGCAGAATGATATTGATTGGGAATATTATTGTTGATTTAGCATTGTTTCTGTACTCTTAGATATTACTGTATTAGTAACATTTGCAGTGGTATTACATTTAACCTAATATTATATTTAGCCACCTATGTCGTAGTCGGTTTTCTGTCACAAAAGAACTTTATCACTATTTTTCACCTTCAGTACAAAAATTGTGATAAGTCAACCATGGATAGAGGTTGTGTTGCCAAAACAAATTAAGAATGACACAAAACACATGCTTTCAATGTATATTTCACTTAAGTTCTTTAACTTATGTTCTGTCTATTTTTTCTGCTGATTTTAGGATGACTTTTGTTTTATGGATTTCTCACAAATGTGATTGAATGTTTCATGAAATGGCACGGGACACTACAAATTAGTTCTTTTATATTGCAAATTAGACAAGAAAGGATGCAAAATTCTTTTCCCTGATTTTTCTCGATGTGGTTATGTTTTTTATTCGTTTCTCTGACATTCGTTGTTATTATTGTTTCTTCGGGCAAAGGTCTTTGTGGTGGAATCAACTCCACCTATGTAAAGATAAGCGGGATGCTGAGCAAGTTGAATTCTTGTAAGTGATGAGTGCTAAATTGTTATGAATTTGAGTGTGAATAATTAATATTTATCGGTTTAATCCGTTTGTTTTTTGTCAATAAATCCCAACTTTAGTATATATTCGGTATAATTTAAGTTATAGTGTATATATTGCATTATCGTGTAAATATTATTGAGTTTAATTGTTTTAACTCATTTTTCAGGTATTCAAGCATTTATATTTATTCATTGTTAGATAGATCATTGAATAAGATTTCCAACGCTTTTGACCGTGCACAAATCAGAGTTACGGTTCTCAAGTTATGGCCGAAGTTGTGCTGAATTTTTTTAATTTACTGTCAAGCTCGCCCCGAGCTCGCTGGGCGAGCCAGAGGCGACCAGAAGCGTGAAAAATACAGTTTTGAGCGTCGGGCAAGACAATCTGGGCAGAAACACAGTTTAAGGGCAAAAAACACATTTTTTAGGTATAGTTTGGGATTTTTGAGTCCCAACACCATCAAACCCATTTTTTGGTCTAGAGAGCTTTAAAAACAACAATGGAGCTTGTATTTGGATGATCCGGAGGCAGATTTCGCATCAATCGGCGCTGACAACCCGTGAGATGTTTGAATTTTCTTCTTTTCTTCTTTATGTATTTCTCTATTTGTTGGGTTTTTTTTGTAGATTTACTTTGAACATATGTATGTATTGATCATGGTGTTGTATAAAGCTTGCTTTACAAATCAATCTTGATGTCTTCTTTGATCTTTTTTCATTTATGTTTGGGCTAGAGTTGTTATAGACATATACCTCACAAATATTAATTAGGGATGAATATCTATTAGTTTTTAGATTCTAGAGATACATTTCGAGCTAATAATCACTGTGGGTATCAGAGCTTAATGCCTCTGTGTTGTTTGTGTTGTGTTGAGAGATCGCCGACGCGAGTAATACGGTTGTTTTCAACTTTGAGTTAGACATAACCTCTATTGTGGTACATCTCGAGAGATACTTGATGATTTTGACGAGTATTGTAGGTTGAGTACAACTGATCGATAGGTTTAAGTTTGTGATGAGTAATGTATATTCATGCTTGATAAGTTTCTCCTCTCTGAAGAATGTAGTTATTTTCTTGTTAATAGTTTTTCCTTTCTATACAAATCAACCCATTTAAATCAAACTCATAAACGCGAGAAATTTTCGAACCACAATTCAGTAGCACTAATCCCTGTGGAGACGATTTGATAAAAATAAATAAATATTTACTTTTGCTTGCCGCTTTACCGCTTCAGCAAAATGGCGATGTTGCCGGAGATTGGTGTTTTTATTGTTTCACATTGCGATAGTTTCTTTGTTTGTGAGTTTTGCATATAATGCATATATTGCCTATAATGTGTCAATAGAAACTTCTTCATATTGATATTTGTGTATGTGTTGAAGCGGTATAGCGGCAAGCAAAAAGTAAGTTTTAATTTATCGGGTGATATAGGTTATATCATATCATGTCCACAGAGATTGGGCTATCAAGTCTTCGTTCGACAAATCTCTTGTTAATGAGTTTAGGGGATAAATGGGTTGAAAGGAAAGGTAAAAGGTATCAACAGAAAATAAATGTATAAAAAGGAAAGACAAACTTATCTGGCTCGACTGTACTATACTTGTCACAAACTTAAACCTATCGGCCAGTTATACTCAACCTACAATATACATTAATGTCAACACGTATCAACCGCAACCCTCACTATATCATCTCAGTGGAAATCTCTCAACCAACCTCAACAACACAGAAGTCAACCGTGCTAATCGCGTCGACGATCTCTCAGAGCGACACAACTAATACAGAAGCATTAATCACACACCCTAAGTGAATAATAACTCTAAATCAATCTCTAGAATCTAGACACTATTAGATAATCATCTTAGATAAGAATCCAAGCAGTATGTATCTATAGCAACTCAAATCCCTAACACCGAACAAAAATCAAGTATAACAATCAACAAAAATTTGTAAAGCAAGTTTAATATAACGCCATGGCCGACAAATATATATGAGTTCAATGTAAAAATATAAACAAAATCCAACAAAAGAGAAATATATATAGAGGTGAAGAGATAAACCACAAATTTTTCGGTTTGTCAGTGTCAGTCGATGAGAAATCCACCTCCAATCATCCATAAGCAAAGCCCTAGTGTTGTTTTCTAAGCTAATCAATCAAAAATAAGGTTGATGGAATTTGGGAACAAAAACGCTCCAAAAACCATAACCTAAAATGTAATGAAAATGAAGTTATAAAACAAATCTCAACAGACCGCGCTAAGCGCGCTCACCATGATAAGCGGACTGCCTGATATTTACACATTAAACCGTCTAAACTGCGTTATCCGCGCTAAGCGGGCTCAAAAACTATGATTATGTCAAATCTTCAAAATGCAAGCAGGGCGCTAGAAAATACCTTGAGCGCACTCGCTCTTAGCGGGTAGACCGCGCTAAGCATGCTCTCTTGGGCAAAAAAATTCATCTTATTCTGAAAACATGCATCCGGAGCCGTGCCTTCGACACCTTATTCCTCAATGTTCTAAATATGCAACAAATACCTATAAAATAACGGGAAAACATCAAATGATACATTATGTACACAAAACACAAATAAACACAAACTAAACGTATTTACACAAAAGTCAGGTTTATT